GCTATTCTTTTATTCCTGATTTCTACCTGTGTCATGTTTAAATTAGAAACTAATGAGCAACTTGTGTAATGCTCTTTGTTTAAGGTTTTTGATAAATTTTATCCATATGGGCCAAACGGCAAGTCCACGAGAGGAAAGGAAAGAAAGATTGAAAACTTTTGGGGCAGAGGTTTTTTTTTGCTAGAATGGCAGGCATTAATTATCTCTTTCTAATGTTGTTGCTTCTCATGTCTTATCTTTTGTGTCTCTTTTCTTTGCACTATTTTACTGCTTAATGGAGAGGAACTGCCTAGGGGTTCTCTTGATTGTGTGAAATAGTTTGTTGTGGTACTTAATATTTCTTGTGACAAGTTTCTGAGCAGAGAAGTTTGGTAGTTGCATAGGCCAGTATTTCATTTGAATGGAGCTGGTGGCCTGTCAGTGGTACGTGGCTTCTCCTAGGATCTGTTGGGGTTGACTTCCAGGGAAGGGTGTTCCAGGCAAATTCTAACTGGAAAAGGTAGAGGTCAGATTTTAAGCACAGGTTTCTTTGCTGTCATATGGATTGTGTCTTCATCTGCCTTGAAACCTTTTTTTTATTGAGTAACTTTTCCAGTGCTCCTTTTGAGTTCAGTTGTGCTTGCATTTCTTTATCACAGCCATTCATAAGATGCCTATGGATTCATAAAAATGCAGTGGCTATTTCGTTCCTTTCTAAATATTCCCTTTAGTCATAGGCTGTGGCTGAATTATGCAAGCATTAATGTGTCAAGTAGTTCTTCTTTATCAGGGAAAAGAAGTGTTTTGGAACATAGCAGGGGAGTAAACTTCAACATTTATACAGTTTGGGTTGATCCTACACTGAATTTTCAGCATCTTCTCCTGGGACCTGTTAGGTTTGTTGCGTTGTTTGCCCTGGGGAAGGGCAGGATTTTTCATCCTGAAGACAGACACAATTTAGTGAGAGCCATGTTCTTCCATCCAAATTGAAGCAGTCCATTTATACTTCAAGTTGAGTATAAAATTCCAAAAGCTCAGCTCCCTACAGGATAAAAAGTGAAAAAATTTTCTCCTGTCCCATTGTTTGGCAATGATTAAGGAGATTATCTTGGACTTGGTTTCCTTTATGAGGGATGATCTTCCTCAGGGTCCTGGTTTGCATTCCAAAAGGGTCATGTCAGCAGCACTACACCCTGAAAAGTCTTGCTCACGTTTTTCTTACCTTCAAAAGCAGGTAGCAGACCTTTTTTTCTATAAATCTAAAACCAGAAGCCTGAGCCTGAGTATTCTTTTTGAATACAGCTTTAGTTGTGTTTTTCAGAAGTCAATTACTATTTCTGGATATCTTTATTTTAATTTTTTTTTAATCTATTTTGGTTTAGCTCTAGGTAGGTTATCCCATACAGCTGTTCAGTAAGAAGCTGTAGTTTCCTCTGGGCAGGCACTTGAGAAAGAAAAGCTGTTCTGTTTGGGGACGCAACTGACAACATCCTGTGTTTGCTCATGGGATGATGAAAACATGCCTCATTCCAGGCGCAGCCTGTGCTCTGCCATAGCCCTGTAGCTGTGTAAAACAAGAAGGCAGCAGGTGTCCTCCTCAAGTTGCACAAATCTGGACTTGTACATGCAGATAGTGTTCTTCAGTTCTTAGAGAAAAAAAAAGTAAATAGAAAGGAAAAACCTGCCCTCTCATTGTATTTCAAGTGGCAAAGATTAAAAGTCTTGTCACAGTTTGCCTTCATTCTCAAATCTGTATTAAAGAAAAACCCAAACACAGATACCTGGTGCAGAGAGAGGTTTTCAGAGAGTACATTTCATACAGACTTGCAGCAATTTGGGATTTTCTTACACCAGACTTTTTGCATCCCAAGTGGAACACACATTTAGAACTGGTGCTTCTTATGAGAGAGCTAGTTTGATCTTCATATCCAAAAAAAGCCCTGGAAAACTGGTGCATGACTTAATTTCCAGCTTTGATTTAGTTTTACAGTAGCAGCTTTTGATCTGCAGTTTGCATTTAGATGTAATGAACATTTAGTTTCTTTATTATCTTCCTGTAGGTAGCCAACCTGAATGCAAAGGATAATTCCTTCAGTCTGAAGGAACATTTATTTAAAGACATTCAGAAAGATTGGCCTGGCTACACTGAAATAGACAGACAGGTTTTGGAGATAAGACTTTCTAGGTAAGTTCAGTCTGTGGGGAAAGATGAGAGCCATTTCAGAAAACTTCCTGGGAAATGAAGGTCTATCTTCCCTCTAGGGAAAGAAGTATGACAATAGATATTTTTGGCTAGTAACCTGAAATGTTGGGCCATCCTTACAGAAAATCAGCTTCCTCTCAGAATGCCACCAGCACCAGCCATTTGACACCTCGGGGACCTTCTGATACAGATGCTCCATCAAGAACTTCTGAGGTATTTGGTGCATTTCTTAAACATTCTGTACAGAGCATTAAGATATTTTACCACACTTTCTATTGGTGTAACAGCTGTGATGTGAAGCACTAATCTTGTTTTTAGCGTATAAACACACCTGAAGCATTTCTTTCTAATGGGATTCCTGTAATCTTTTAAAGATGGGTGTTGCAGTGTCAAAGACTGCAAAAAACTTGCAGATGTGATTTGTTTACTGTGATGCACAGGAAGCTCTGCTAAAGACAAGATGTGTTTGTGTCTTTGGTACCTGGTTGTGTCTGTTCAAGGTTCTTTGTGATCTGGCAGCTCTAGGCCATAAAACACACCCAAACATCCTTGTGGTACTGTCTAAATAGAAATCGTAGCAAAGGCTAGAATAAGGACAAATTACAGCAGTGATCCACTTGGAGGAATATTGTGTTTCCCCCTCTAGGCAGCATTTAAGGCCCAGTTTTGGTTCAATGGAGCCCATGTGTGAAAAACTGGAGGCTTTCTGAGCCTCAAACTGCACGTCAGTGCACGCAGTGTACAGAAATAAGCTGGGAAGTACAGAAAGCCTTCCACCAGGGAGAGAATTGTCTTGGAATAGAGGACACAGCTTTATTTTTCCCTCACTCCCTTCCAGTCATAGCAGGAAATGGTGCAGGTCCTAGCAACCTCTTTTGACCTGTCTCTGTCCACACAGAATGTGGACTTCTTTCAGCAGCTGGCACAGAGCCATGTCTGGCACTCCTGGACCCAGCTTCCAGTGTACATGGATGTGAGCAGGGATGCTTGGTAGGGAAGAGGATATGAACCAGCGCTTCAGCTGGAGTACAGCTGGAAGGACAACTGTAGCCAGACGGAGCTTTTCCCTGTTCTTCCCAGCTCTGCACTTGACACGCTGTGATCAGCACCCACCGCCTGCTTCCCAGGGCCGCTTTAGTAAATCGTGTGGCTGTGTGACAGCAAAAGCTGAGTCTTACCCCAGTGTGTCCGAGTGGAAACTGGGACCTAAACAAAACTGACCCAATCTCCTTGTTTTGGGGAAACCTTTGATAGAGTTGCTCTAAAGAGTATTTTTCTCCCAAAGCTTTTCAACTGTTGAAGAAGGACTTTTTATATCCCAAGATGAGAAACTAGGAATGATATAAACCGCATATTTAGCAGCAGTATTTCCTTGTTTGACAGCTCTCTGTAGCTGACAATGATGTGTTTTCAACTCTTGCCTGTTCAGAAATGCTTCTTTCTCAGAATGGGAGCAAAGCCTAATTCTGATCATGTATTAGCTATTTTGTTATTATTGCAGAAACGGCCTCTGGATTCCAATTTCACCTTCCCTGTGGTGAGCAAAAAGCAGAGGATTGGTCGCCTGGCCAGTCGAGTCCAGCCAGCAGCCGGTGGCCTCAGTCCTGCTTCCTCAACACTGCCTCCCACAGTCCTTCCGACTTCTAACACATCTGAAACTGTCAGCTCCATTTTCCCCTGCACCTCCGAGGTGCAACAAAAGGATATGCCTCAGACTCCTTTTGGAATCCCAGCACCTGCCCCGATGCAGGGGGAGTCTCCCAAGCCTAGAGAGAAGAAAGAAGACAGAAAGAGGCTGAAAACATCCCAGCCTTTGGATTTCACTGAAGGTATCAATGCCCTGATTTTCTTAACTCCTGTGAGGGTAAACCCTGGTGAAAAGGGAGCACTGAAACCAGGGACTGGATATATGAAGGCTTTGCTATGTACTAGTGCTCTACCATTATCCCTGCTTTATGGTAATGAAAAATTCACACTTTTTTATGCCACTGTACTACACTGTAACTGTTATCTTAAATGACAACATTACCAAAACTCAGAAACTGTTCTCCTGGAAC